TCACATCTAGGCTTCCCTGGGGATGAAGGGATGCATTTTTCACTTTAGTCAAGGCCCACAGATCCTACAGACTCAGCTCAGCTATCTCCTCTCCCAGGAAGGCAGCCACGGTCCACTCCCATGACTAAATGGGATCCTTCCTTTGGGATCCCAGAGTCCCCTGGCTCACCACACCATAAAACTTTTCTAAACAATTTTCCAGGTACTGTCCATTACTTTTTAAAATTAGAAATAATTTAGGCTCATTGTAGAAGAATTTTTAATAAAATTAAAAAATTGTATAATAAAAAAGCTGGATACAATGCTACATGTATGAAATATATACCTTGGAAATAAACACATAAAGGAAAAAAACAAGAAACTTATACACTGATGGTGTTGACTGGCTCTTGTTGGATGGTAGGACCCTGGGCCATTTTTATTTTCCATCTCTCTTTTTCTGTGTATTCTAATTCTCTACAATAAGTATGTATGACTTTGATAATCAGAAAAAAGATATTTTTTGAAAAAGGAATTTACCTTTTTACTTGCCTGTCTTCCTCCAGGGGGCTATGAATATTCCTCAGAGGGGAAAACTGCTTGAATTATTCCTCTATTTCCACCTCCCAGCATAGGGTGGGGCACATAGCAGGTGTGTAGTAAATATAGAACGAATGAATGAATGAATGAATGGAGTTGGGAATTGTGTAGCTCAGTGATTAAGAATAAAGGCTTTAAAATCAGACAGAATAGGGTTGGAGTCTGTTCTGCCTCTTAGCTGCTATGTGACATTGGGCAAATTACTTAACCTCTCTGAGTCTCTGTTTCTTCATCTATGAAAGGGGCTCAAATTCTTACCTCATATGAAGCTGAAAAAAGAGTATGGATGCACAGTCCCTGACAAAGACCAGACCCTCACTACCCTGCAGATATCACATCTGAAGCTGGAGGAGATAGGGAGTAGGTACTCTGCTGTCCCTTCAGAAAATGCAGACCAATCTCCCCAGTGCCTTCCTTCATGACCAGCCCACGTCCCTTTGCAAATCTGGGGATAATGGAAACAGCACAGGCTTTGAAAATCAAACTGGATTTAGCTTCTATCTCTGCACCCGATTAGCTGTGTCACCTCAGGCCAGTCACATCACCTCTGTGCTCCTCTGTATTCTCCCACAGAATGACAATATTACTAATAATGGCTGGCAATACTAGTGCTTCCTTCGTGCCTGACTTCGTGCTGAGCACTTCCCGGGCATTGATAAGTGAGGTGACATAGTGGTTAAGGTTCAGTGTAAGACTCAGAGTACCTGCGTTTAAATACTGGTTTACCCCCTCCTCCAGCTTGATAAATTTGGACTAGTTACTTAACCTCTCTGTGCCTCAGTTTCCTGCATGTAAGATGGAGTTGATATTGAATTGCTATGAAGATTACGTGGAGTTAATAGATGAAAATGTTTAGAACAGTACCTGGCACTTGGAAGGCACACAATCGATTTCACTTATATAATCATCACGATAGTCATCTGACATTAAGTACTTTTTTCTCCCAAGAGGAAACTGAGGCTCAGAGAGGCAAAGTGACCTGTCCAAGGCTGCATAATCAGTAAGTTACAGAACTGGACGTTGAACCCTGATTTGGCTGCTCAAGGCACAGGTTCTTGAAAGGCTGGGGCAGGTAAAGGACCCAGCAAGATGACGGAGGGCAGGTGTCAGTGCCACCCAAAATGTTAGACTTCCCGCCTGGTCCCAGCCCAGCCCGGGAGCAGCTCCACCCTCCCCTTCCTGTGCCACGATGCACTCAGAATCCTTTAAAGTCCTGCCTGAGCATCACCACAGAGTCCTCGTCCGCTTCAGGAAAACCAAATGTTTAGCGTCAAGTCAGAGAAGCGTCTCGTTTTTATTAGCGTTAACCTAATATGTTGTCTTCCCTTGTGGAACTCTGAATAAGTTAATCAAGGAAAGGCTGGATTTGTCCATTGCAATAATGCTGCCTGATTCCAAAGGCTGCTTGTTGAGAGCTTGGAGCTCTGGGCTTCTTATTTTCTCTTCCTTCTCTCTTTACATTTTATAAAATATGTCAGATTTCCAGGGACAAGGGTGGGGGCAGTTAGCATGGTATAGAAGGCTCACAAGCCTTGGAATTAAATAGACCTTGTTTCAAACCTCAGTCCCTCCACTTACTACTTACTCGTGTAACCTGGGATAAGTGACTTCTGAGTTTTAATTTTTCCCACCTGCGAAATAGGATAACAATAGTCTCTAACTTTTTGAGTTGTTGTGATTATTAAATAAGGCGATCAAACACTTATGACATGGTCTAGGCCATAATGACCATTCAATAGGTATTAGCTATTATTACTACTACTAATAAAACAGCAACTATTAAGTGACCTATTATTATGAGCCAGGAGATGTGACAAGCATTTCACATATATCATTACATTCAATTAATATACGAAAAGCAAACAGGGCAGTGGCTGGCATGAAGTACGTGCTCAAGAAATGGTAATAATTACTACTAGTAGTGGCAGTGGTATTTTATTCTCATAACAAACAGAGAGGTGTTATTATTGTTGTGGTACGTATCAATTGTGCTAGAAGGATTTACATTCTATCAGGGGACCTTGACAAACACAGGCAATTACCATTCATATAAAGGCCATGGCAGGAAGCACAGAGGAGGAGTATTTGATCATGCCTGGATAGGGGCTGGGGACGATTTCCCGCAGGTGAGCTAAGCTGAGACCTGGAGGAAAAGTAGTGCTAACCCTTGGAAGGCACCTCCAGCAGAAGGATGGTCACTCATTCAACAAATAGGTTTTGGGTATCACCTTAGTGCCAGGTGCTGTCCCAGGTTCTGACCGACTGGGGATAGGCAACGTCCCTGCCCTCATGGACCTGACAGTCTAGTAGGGGAGGCAGATTACAGACAAGGTAGCAAACATGTAAACGAGATGGTTTCAGATAGGGACAAGTATTGTGACAAAAATATAACTGGGAAATGTGGTTGTGACTGGGTAAGTGGAGTACTTTAGTTAGGACAGTCCCGAAAGGCCTCTATAAGAAGGCAAGGTTTGACTGAGGACCTGAAGGAAGGGAGGAAGGGAGCCATGCAAAGATCTAGGGGAAGAGCATCCCAGATGAAAAGGACTGACTATACAAAGGTCCTGAGGTTGGAAGGGGCTTGATGTGTTCAATGAATGGCAAGAAAAACAGAGGGGCAGGGTGTGGTGAGACGGGTAAGAAGTGTTACAAGATGAGGTTAGAAAGACAGGCCATGATAGGGACTCTGGAATTTATCCTAAGTGTGATGGGAGCATATCCTAAGATTCAGACTTGTGACAGACTTTGGGGCTTGCAAAGTACCAGGTGGAGTTTGGAGCACTGCGGTGAGATGGAGCTTGGTAAGTGGAAAGGAGGAAAAGAGAAGCCACGTCATGATTTCTCTATTAGGGTAGCACCTTACACCTCACCTGTGCCTACAAGATGGGGTCCCTTCCCAGGGTAGAGCCACGGGAATTTCCAGACCCCCTCTAAGAACCTACGATGTGTCAGGCATCATGCTAGGTGTTTTCATAACCATTGTCCTATTGAACTCTCAGGAGAAGCCTGGAAGGGAGGAGTCATTATTCCCATCTTACAGATGGCAAAACTGAGGCAAGACGAGGTCAAGCCCCTTACCTGGGCCACGAGTACCCTAATCTGTTCTGCCACTTCCCATCTCTTCGTCACCTTCTATGAACACTGGGTTCTTGGAGACACAGACTTCTAGGAAATCCCTGCGGGTGGGAGGGCAGGGCCTTTTGGATGAGCTAGGCGTGGGACAGGGTTGAAGCAGAGGAACACGCTCCCCAGAATGAGTCCCCTCCATTAATCCTGCTTTCCTCCATGGGGTTTTCCATGGCTGAATTGCAGCAGAAGTGTGACATGTGGCAGGGGACACCAAGGCTCGAGAGGTTTTCCTTCTGTCTTGATTGGTAGGTCCTCCCAAAACATATGACCCCCACTCTCGAAATGTCCACTCGTGTAAATCTCATGAATTGCAGGGGTTGGGGAGTCCTCCCCAGCATGCTGGTCCTATGGGCAGATGTCAGCAGACTCTGGGAGGCAGTCCTAGAGCCAAGCATTCAGACCAGTTGGATCTAATTTGAGCTCCAACACTGCCACTTACCAGCTGTGTGGCCTTGGGCAAGTGTCTTCATTTCTTCAAGCCTCTGTTTCTACTTCCGGGCCTAGGATCACACTCCTTGCTCAAGTCCATGGAGTGTAGTGAAAATCAAGTAAGGTAAACACACTCACAAAGAAAAGCCCTTTTTGACTCTGAAAGGCTAAGAGAATGCAACAAACTATGCTCAGAGCAATGATGGTCCCCAAGCGCCATCACCAAGGGGACCCGCAAGGCAGGCTGAGAGGCGATGTGGTGCAGCAGAAGCTCTTGGGCGCTTGGTGCCTCAGTTTCCTCTTCTTTGAAATGGGAATAATAGTGCCTTCCACAGAGAGTTGAGGTAATAATTCAATACGTGTAAAATGCTTAGGACAGTACCTGGCACATAGTAAGTGCCCAATAGATGCTAGCTGTTTTTATTTTCATGTGTATTTAACAAGGACTGGAAAAAGCAGCAGGGGAGGGTCAGACTTTGAACTCTGACAGACGCGGGGGTCAAATCCATGCTTGCTTGTTTGCAAGATGCATGACCTTGGGCAACCTACTTAAACCCTCTGAGCTTCAATTTTCTCCTCTGTGAATTAGGGATGATAATGAAACGTACTGTAGATCTATAGCTATAACTATTTGACAGCTGGTTCACATTAAACATTGAAAACTGGTGAGTTATTATATTATCATCTCCCCTCCCTTCTCCTCAGCCACCCTCCATGCCCAAATGCTCACTGCTCTTACCTCGCTCCTCCTCCTTCTCCCGGACGACCCTCCCCTTGAGGGCTCGGCTCCAGGCTCCTCCTCCGTAGTCTCCCAGCTTGGTTCTCTCGTTCCCATCCTTGCCCTTGAACCAGGGTCCGTACCTGCGGGCAATGCTCGTGGCTTCGCCCATGTCCCGGAATCCTCTGCCCAGATGCAAGTCACCCAGGAAGGGCAGCTCAGCGACCTCGGCCGGGACCCCCGCGGCAGGGTTGGCTTGGTTCTGGGAGACAGCGAGCTGGCCCACAAAGCCAGAGTGAAGGAAGACTAGGCTCCCGGCCGTCAGGTAAAGCACCAGAAAGGTAAAGAAACGCACAGGTTTCCGGCGGAAGTACCGCTGGAATTTGAACCAGAGCTTGGCCATAGCGGGATCATTCCGGACTGGCTCACTGGGGTTTGGCTGGGTGGGGTTTGGGGAGGGGAGAGAGGGCTTCCTTTCCCACGCTCCCTTTAGGGATGGAACCCGTGGGGGTCTTTAGTCTTATCCCCTTTGCCAAGGTGATTGCCAAGACCAGACCAGGAAGGCAAGTCCAGCACTTGGCTGAGGCCAAGAGAATGAAGGACTGAGCTCACTAGCTCTCTTGTGGTCAAAGTGAGCTTCTTTGGGCCATGAAAGGAGTTTTGAGGATCAGGACACCCAGGAGTTGGTCCCATTTTCCTACATCTTGCTCTTCACCTCAGCGAGTTTCCAAAGCACTTTGAAAATCGCAATCAGAGGAGGATTCTGGAGGTCACCGGCAACCACAGTGCACTTCTTGCCTTTTCTCAGCTCCTCAGGCCTGTCGGGGCTGGATTATTTCACTGAGGCCATTTCTGGCCTCTTCCCCAGTTGGGGACCAAACTTGGAGTGTCCATGTCGTGGAAACTGAGGCTGGTGGGCTTCCATCTGGTCAAGCATTTAGGGCTCGGGGCTGCCACCTGCAAAATAGCACAGACACAAGCATAAGAAGCCTCCACACAGAGGCCAGAAAGTCCTTGAACATTCTCAAGGGGCAATGCAGAGTCCAGAGAGGGGAGGACACCAATGGCCCAAAGCACCCAGCAGTGCTAGACAGAAGCCCAGTCCTGGGTCTTCCAGAACACCTGATTTTTCCTTTAAACCACATGGGAATTTGGGGGCCTACATCCCACTTGGTCTTGGTCTGCGGACAAGCTTTGTCTTGACGAGCACAGGTTCTTATGCCCCCACACTTCCTACACACTGCAAATACATGCTGATTCTTGACTTATCCGAAGTCCAAAAAGTACTTCCTAGATCCTCGCTGAACTGTCTGCTGGACCTGGCTGATATTAAAACAGATCGAACTTTTTTTTTTTCTTTTTTACAAAAATTTAGTGGGTACCTACTATGTAGCAGCTACTGTCCTAGGTGCTGTAGATAAAGCTGTGAATGAAAAAAAATTTAGATTATTTTTACAAAAATCCATTATACTATGCAGCAGGTACTGTCCTAGGTGCTGTAGATAAAGCTGTGAATGAGAGAGACAAAGTTCCTTTCCTCACAAGGTTCACATTCTAGTGAGAGAGATCAAATCCATAGCCCCTCTCCTCTATCCAAGGAGAAAAAGTAAAAAGAAGGGAAACAGGGTTATTTAGCAACATATTCATTCACTCGGTATTTATGGGGTTTCTATGGCATGCCTAACTTTGTGCCAAGCCATCAGCATACATTATCTCATTTATTCTCCCTCTCATTCCTATGTTTCCCCATTTTACAGATAAGAAAACTGAGACTACACGGTAGAGTCCACCAGTGAGTGGTGGTATTGGGATTTGAACCCAGAATGGTCAAAACACAAAACCCCAGCTCTTAATCACTGCCCTTTTGACTTTGTCTTTTCCCCACACGGTCTGGATATGACTCAGGAATTCAGAGATGGCCCCTGAAGCAGCAGCAGCCCATCTCCGCTGCCTCCCAGTAACCAGCAGTGGCTCACCCTTTGACAGGGTCCTCCAGAGTGTGGTCTGAGAAGCATCCAACTCAGAATCACCTGGAAGCCAAGTTAAAGATTCCTGACCTCTCCAACCAGCATCTCTGGTAGAGGGAGAAACCTGCAAGTGTCACAAGGTGCCTTCAGGTGATGGTAATGAGCATAAAGGTCTGAGAACCACTGCTTTATGAGTAAATGTTCAGGATCATCAGCCAGGAGGAAAATGGAATGTAAATTAAAAAACAGAAAACTCAATATGGCCAATGCTGTTTCACATCACCACCAGCAGGGGGACTCATAACAATCTCGGTCAATGCATAGGCTTCAACTGTCAGTCAATGGGCGATTTGAATGATGACGGCCTCTCCTAATCCAGATAGTGGCATAGGAGTTTAACTGTGGTTCAAGGTAGCATCCGCCAGTCCTCTATATGCCTTCCCATTCATTCATGAACTAAGTATTGAACACCTACTATGCACCAGTTTTTGTTCTAGGCACTTGGAACAGATTGGTGAACAAAACAGCCAAAAATCCATGCTCTTGTGGGGTTGAACTATTCGTTCATCCATCGATCCATCTATCAATCCATTATCCTTTTGTCCATTCATGAGTCCACCTATCCATCCAGCCATTAAGTCACAATCTATCCACTTACTCATTGATTCCTTAATCCATCCATCAATCTATGTACTCCTCCATCCATCTATCCATTCATCATTAATTTATTCATCCATCCATCCAACCATCCATCCATCTATATATTCATATGAACTGTAGCAGCCCATTCATCCATCTAAATCTCCACCTATCCATTCATCTACCCATTCTTTCATTCATTTAAAAACATGTGTTGCTTGCCTACTCTGTGTGCGCTTCGGATGCAGAAATAAATAATTCAGAGTCCCTGCTTTCAGAGAGTCCAGAGTCTACTGAGGAGACAGCAATTTAAACAATCACTATACTAGAGAGACAGTGATAAATCCGTAGTAGATATATGTATAAGATGTGGAATTAATTATTAATATTAATAACTCATGTTTGCTGAGCACTTATTATGTGCCAGACACTACTCTAAACATATAATACTCTAATTTAATCCTCTTAACAGTTCTATGTGGGAGATCCATATCTTTTACAGAGGAGAGGAAGAAGGCTCAGAGAGGTTAAGTAACTTGTCTGGGGCCACACAGCTGGTAAGTAGCAGCGGGGTTGTGAACCCCAGACTACTGAATCCAGGACCACATGGTTTATTCCTAACAAGGCTTCTAGTTGGGCCTTGTATCCCTTTGAAAATCTGATGAAAATTACAGATGTATACTCAGGAAAGAACCCTTGCACATAAGCTCCCAGATTTGGACTTATGATGTCAGAGAGTCTGTGGACTCTGGGGTGAGAAGTCCTAGAATATGGGATCCCAGAGGTATGAGGGTCTGAGACTGCCTGGGAGGATCAGAGAAGGCTTCCTCAGGGAGGATCTTTTTGAATTAGCAGTTCTCGCAAAAGGAGTCAGTTTTTTTGGGTAAAGAAACAGCAGAAGGATACCCTAGTAAGGAAGAACAACACATATAAAGGGCAGGTCACTGGGGTGGGGGGAGCAAAGGAGCTTAGGGCATGGTGGCAATGCAGTTAAGCAGTGGGAAGGGGACAGATTGTGGGGAGCCTTGAAAGCCACGCTCAGGAGTCTGCACTGCGCTCTAACGGCATGCATGGGAATCCATGGAAGTTTCATGGTCACACTGACACTTTAGAAAAACCAGTCTCTGATCAGCTTGAAAACCTCTGGGCAGTAGGTGGTGCCCCAGTAAACGTCCTGTAGATTACACACGTGCCAGATGTTTTTGCAGCTGGGCCAGGATGAGAAAGACTGGTAGTCCTCACAGGGATAGGCAGGGGGACACCAGTCCTTCCAGAGGCATGCAGGCAAGAGTATGGACTCTGGAGGCAGGCTGACCTGGGTTCAAATCCAGCCTCTTCCACCCGCCAGCTGTGTGACTGGGGCAAGACACCTCCTCCCACTGACTGAGGGTCCTCACCTATAAAGTGGACAGAAGAATCTTGATACCCTTCAAAACATATTGCTGGGAGGACTGAAGTGAAATTTCAGGGAATGTCTGGTGCATAGTAGGTGCTGAAGAAAAGTGCCCACTCCTGCCCCTTTCATGGGCACATGAGAACAGGATTTAAAGCCATTTGCCACAGCAGCAACATTGCTGCTGTGGAGATGGCAAATATTTCAGCTGTTGTACTCCCTCCTCACGGCTTTTTGTCTCTCTGAGGATATTTCTGGGTCTAGTCCTTTTTTGTTGTTCCCTTCTCATTCTTTCCTATTTCAACACATTTCTCCTCTAAGTGGGTGCCAAATGGGTTTTAAGAGGATAATGAGCTCATTAGGAGCTGGCAGGGAACAGAAAGAGACTGAGGCTTTGGTAGCATGGGGAGCAAAGGGGGGCCTCCTAGAAAGGACTGTGAGGAGGTGGGCTCCTCCTGGGGAGGGGATGCCAACTTGAGCTTCCCGCACCATCCTGCCAGTGCTAGGAGGTGGGGCGCTTACCTGGAGGGACTTAAACCTTGGGGGTGGGACCGTGTCTGCTCTCTTACCACATTAGCTCCAGCTTGTGGTACATAGTAGATCCCCCAAGAAATATTGGTGGAGGAAATGAGTGAAAAGAATCAGGGGACTGGCCTTGCCACCGGGGCTTAAACCTACAAGCATGGCTCCATGTCATGCACCAGAACATGTGGTGACAGCGTCAGAGAACTATACATTCAGCTCTGTGGAGGTGGCCTCCTGTATTACTCAACTCTGGGTGGTCCTGAAGTTCAGGATCCCTATTGAGTCACAGTCTCACCTCCCCAAGAGAACCCCATCTATCATTCTCTCCCCACACGTCTCCACCTCTCTTTGTCTCTCTCCTGACAGAAATTATACCCCAACAAGAATGGGAAATGAAGTTAACTGCCACTGGTTGAGCACCTACTATATGTCACGCACTGTGTTCAAAGGTTTTACAAACACATTTTCACAAATTCCTCCCTCCCGGCAACCTGAGAGGCGGATGCGATGGTTCTCCCCCATCCACAGATTGTGTACTACAACCCCGGGCAGGGGACTCGGGCTGGCCTTCAGCAAGCCCCTAGAGGATCCATAATGCTGGAGCAGATGCTTGCTAAGGCTGCCCGTCGTTGTTTCATACCTCTTCATTTAATGTGAGACCCCTCCAAGCCTCAGCTTCCCCATCTGTTGAATGTGGTAGATGATGTCTACCCTGCCTCCCTCCCAGGGCTAGTGTGAGTTTCCACAAGGATGAGGCCGAAGGGCCCCCTTTGTGAGAATGGCAGCATTTGGTTCCTGTGGTCCAGGTTTCCAGGCGGAGCCTCCGAGTGTCTAAACACAGCCTATTTTTAGCACCACAATGAACCTCTGGTGTTGAGCTGCCAAGAAAATGACTGGTGGGCAGAGCCACCCTGCAGGAAGGAAAAGCAGAAGGTGCAGACTGCCCTGAGGCTCCTTCCCCTGGGAGAGGCCATAGTGCTTCTTTCAGATTTCAGGGTCAGGCAGATCTGGCTGGAAGCCCAAGAGGCTGGACAGGGGGCAGGCTCTCCCTGCACAGGCCCCCAAGCCCTGGGACCAGCTGACCTGCTGACGATCCAAGCTTGGCCAAGAAACAGCTGCTGAGAAAGTGGGTTTGTGAAGTTTTGATTTCTTCACAGTTCTAGGAAGGAGACCCAGCTGGGGATCTCCAAGACACTGGAAGCCCATGTCAGAGGTGAAATTTTAGTCTTGGTCTAATGACAAAAATATCAGAAGTCACTGGTATTTGTTGAGCATCTACTATGTGCCAGGCACTATGCTGGGCACCTTATTTCCATTGTGCCATTTAATCTTCACTAGAACCCTTGGTGGTGATTATTAACCTCTCTGTGCCTCAGTTTTCTCATCCATAGAATGGGGGAAATAAGAATACTTATTGGGTCGTTGTGATGACT